ACGGCAATCATTTTTGTGTTTAAATGTACGAACATCGTAATATTCGCCGGTACTTTATCGATCGGTAAAATGTCACAAGAGGATAACAAACTCAATACGGTTCGTAACAGAATATAAAATAGTAAGTATTACGTCTATTCATTATATTTTAATATACTCGATAGAACAAATATTGTCTATTATATAATATAGGTAAGTATATTGATCGAAATCAGGTAAAAGCCCCTATTGGAAAATAATTTTAAAATTGTTCTCCGTGGATATTATTCATAGTATAGGTACCTACTATGAGCACTAACTTATTAAAAGTAGGCATACCATATTTTTTATTGAAAAAAAAATGTCACATTTTCCACGAACTGCTTGCGCAAACGGAAACGAATAGCTATTAATTTAAAAACAAATTATAATTAAAAAGTGTATATTTATTAATTTAATGTTATGGCATTTATTTAATAATGTAATTTTTGAGCGAATCGATAATATTTTGAAACGGTGCGTCCGATTGGACGACCCGTGTCGTAAATAAAATAACAATTGTGTGCTCGATAATCAAGTTTTTCTATTGCTAGGTTAAATTATAATTTATATTTACAATGTTGGGACAAGTAAAACGTCGATTTGTGCCGACCGGACTTAAATAAGTGAGTCGGCACAATCGGAGGCGCTTGGGTATTGTGGTCGGACAATTGTCGGACCCTATCTTCACAAGTGTTTTTATAACGATTTATATAAGTTATACAATATGATCGGCTAGGAAGCCGGCCGTCGTCGGTGCAGACTTAAGTCAAGCGGCACCCCGACGACGAACCAGACTTGGGTCGGATAACTTAATTAAGTGCCGAGGTTGGGGTCGTGGTGGCCCTGAAAAGGGCCTTTTAATGTTGTCACGCCGTGAGTGGTCGGCCTATCCGGTGATCCCGTAGGCTGGGGTGGTTGAGTGGCGGTCGGGCGGCCTCGTCACGGCAAGAGTACACTGACACTGGTCTCTCCCCGTTGAGCGGCAGTCACGGGGTCGGTTGGTCCTGACGATGATGGCGTTGTTGATCGACCGATCTTTGCGCCCGTAGATAGGTGGTCGACGGGTCGTTATTGTTCGGCCGTTGAATGACGTTTACAGCCGTGGAGCGGCGTCGTTGTCGATATGCGTCGGTATGATGATATACGCAATCGGGAACGGCGGTGGTCTGCGGTCGAATGGCGCTGGTAGCCGTGGAGCGGCGTCGTGGTCGGTATGCGTCGGTATGATGATATACGCAATCGGGAACGGCGGTGGTCTGCGGTCGAACGGCGCTGGTAGCCGTGGAGCGGCGTTGTCGTCGGTCTTCGGCGGTCGATTTCTGGTCCTGGTCTTCTTGCTATCGGAACGTTTCTTGGAGATGTTGATAGTTTGAAGGATTGAAGTGGACTGACTAGATTATTGCTATTGCTATGGGTGACGGCCTGTGGCCTAATGGGAAGTACCAGACTTATGTCTTTGTCTTCCTGTATGATGTAATTCTCGGAGTTTTGGCTTGTTTATTTAGGTGTTATTTTTTGAAGTAGAAAGGTCTTGATTTACATATAGGGTCTTCTGGGTCTGGTACTCCTAATTTTTGAATGTGTGGGTAGAGGGATCTTGTGTTTTTATTAAACATTATCGTAGTGGCTTTCCTGGCATCTTCCTCTATTGACGGGATTTTAGTTATTGCGAGTAAGGATTTGTTTGACTGGTATGGTGGAATGGCTGTTATTGATCTTAGTCCTACGTTTTGCACGGCTTCGATCTTCTTCCAGTTTGACCTACTAATTTTAGGCCCCCATGCAGGTGCGGCGTAGAGGAGGATGGGCCTTATATATATTTTAAATAGAGATAGTCTTGCATTAATTGGGATATGGCTTTTGCTATTTAGCAGCGGATAGAGTGCCGCTCTTGATCGTTTGGCCTTGTTAATTATGTCCTCAACATGATTGTGGAGACTTAGGGACTTGTTTAATGTTACTCCTAAATATTTTGCATCTCTTGACCAGTTGATTTCCGTGTTGTGGATCGTAATTTTCTTTAATTTAGTTGTTGCTTTCGTTCCAAAGAGAATTGCAACTGTTTTGGAAACATTTAGTCGTAATCTCCACTGAGTGAGCCATCTCGTTGTTATGTTTATTTGCCGTTGTAGTCTTAGTATAGCGTAGGTAGCGTTTTTGTTGCTAGTGTGAAACATAGTGTCATCCGCAAACAGAGATGTTGATACCTGTGGTTCGGAAGGTAGGTCGTTGATGAACACGGTATACAATAGTGGGGATAAGCATGAGCCCTGCGGAACGCCTGCTTCGATTTGCCTTGTTGTTGACTGGTGGTGGGATATCTTGATAAAGAATTGTCTATTGGTCAGGAATGATTTGATGAGTTTTACCAAGTTAATGGGTGTTCTCGTACCGAGGAGTTTGTGTATAAGACCGTTGTGCCATACCCTGTCGAATGCTTTTTCCATATCTAAGAATAGTGCTGCAGTACGCTGTTTTCGGCCTTGGCTGACAGATAGGTCGTCAATTAGTTTTGTTAGTTGTAGTGTGGTGGAGTGTCCTGTTCTGAAGGCATGTTGTTCTGGACGAGGTTCAATATATTTTTTCAGTCGGAACAAGATTAATTTTTCGAGAATTTTTGACATTGTATTGAGTAACGATATTGGACGATAGTTTTCTGGAGCCGAGTGGAGTTTTCCTGGTTTAGGAATCATAATTACAGCTGCGGTTTTCCAGTATTTCGGAAAGTATGAGTATCTTAGACATGCAGTGTATATTCTGGCAAGAGTTATAATTGATGAGCTGGGCAAGTTTTTAAGGGTGGTATTGGTTATTTGATCCATGCCTGGAGCTTTGGCTTTTGGTAGTTTCTTGATGATATCTAGGACTTCATTTGGAGTGATATAGTCGTTGTTTGGTGTTTGGTCGTCGTTGATTATTTGGATGGAGTGTTCCACTTCTTTGTTTGGAGGACCTGGATTATTTGAAAATTGAGTACTCATCGTGTCCGCAAAAAGTTCAGCTTTCAGTTTTTCGTCAAAGATACGTATTCCACTTGTTGTTTTCAGTGGAGCGCATGCCGGTTTTTTCCGTAGTAACCTGCGGTTTAGCTTATAAATTGATTTGTCTTCGAAATTTAAAGTCTGAGTAAAGGTATCCCATTCTTCTTGCCTGTGGGTCTGTAATAGTTTTTTAACATAGTTGATTTGTGCGTTGTACATTTTCTTGTATGTTGGGTCATGGGTTTGTTGCCACCGTTTCCTTAGGATGCGTTTAGTTTCTATTTCTAATAATATTTCCGGTGAGATGGGTGTCCTGTTTGGTTGATTTAATAAGGAGGAATTGTTTGAAAGAGCTTTTTGTATGGATTTTGTTAGTTTCTCGATATTGTCTTCAATCTCTTTTGGATTAGTGATGGCTTGGTGTTTGAGTGGGTGCATTGTCATTTCAGCCTTAAACTTCTTCCAGTTTATTCTACGATTTGCTAGAGGAGGTGTGTTTGTTTTAGGTGATTTGTTGATAGTAATTAGGATTGGGTTGTGATCTGAAGAGAGATCGTTGAAATTTGATATTGTCATATCTTGTTGCAGGTTTGTTAGTGTAATATCCAGTACATCAGCGTTGTGGTGTGGTATAAATGGAAAATGGGTTGGTGAATCTGGAGCGCAAATGGTGTATTGACCGTTCCTTTCCATATGGTCCAGTAGAATTTTCCCCGTCTGGTTTGTTCGTCTGCTGTGCCATGATGGGTGTTTTGCGTTTAAGTCGCCTGCTATAATAAAGGATTCGGTACCATTGGTTAGGGCATCGATGTCTTTGATTTCAATCTTATCTCCTGGACTTTTATATACTGCCGATACACGTACGGTTTTTGCGCCTATTGCCATGGCGATAGTGGTGGAGTCTAGTTTTGTTTTAATGATGATTTCTTCATGAATTATGTTATTTTTTACTAGTATTGCTGTGCCACCAGATGAGGGGCACTCAGGTTTGGGTGGACGGTCTGTTCGATATGTGTAGTAGTTTGGTAATTTGAGAGGGGCTGTTTTGTTTAGGCGGGTTTCCCCGAGTAGTATGATGTCAATTTTGTTTTTCCGAGTGAATTCTGCAAGTTCGTAAGTTTTGTTTGTTATACCATTGCAGTTCCATTGTAGTATTCTCAGTTCATCCATCTGACTAGATTGTCGAGAGTGTCCGGTATTTATACCCTTTTCGACAATCTAGTCCATCGTTGATTGGTTCGCGTAATATGTTTTAGACGAGTGAAAATCACACCGTTGAACGGACATTCCTATCTATCATGTGTGATTTTCACTCGTCATATCGTGTCCTTTTTTTCAATCGTTTTACTTGGTGGGTGTTTGTTCCGTAACAATACCCCCCCCAGATTTGTGCTGGGGTGGGAATCACTCAGCACAAATTTTCATTCGTGCGGAACAAATGTGTGCGTGTGTGTGCCGCTTTGTATGCAGCTGTATTAACTTAATGAATGATGATTTGATTGTGACTTTGCTGATTTATATATTTTGTTTCGTGCCGTTGTGTGCGTTTTGATTGGTCCATCCGACTGACCAATCCTATACATGATATTTATTGTTGGCAATTGTTTGGTCTGTAATACGGACGAATTTCAGAGATGTTTGTCAGCTGTTGTTTGTCCGTTGTCGGGTCTCGTATTACTAATGTATTCTGGCTTATTATTTCTACTACCTCGTACGGCCCGTTGAAAAGGTTGAACAGTTTCCTTACTTCCCCGTGTTCTGCATTTGACTGTTGGTGGTTTTTTATAAGTATCTGTTGTCCGACTTCGTATTTGTGTATATACGGGCAACCATTATTTTCATTGTTCGATGGGATCTCATATTTTTCATTTTTCGTTAGTTCACTTGTAGTGATCCTGGACGTTAAATTACTTTTTTTTTTGTGCGGTTGTAGTCTTATGTTTTGCTTGACATATGATATTCGTTTTATGTGTTTTTCGGAAATGACGGGATCCGTAGCTATTGGTCTTCCATCACCATAGCCTCCCCGTATAAGTTTTTTGTATCGTCGTCGATAATGTTTGCCTCTCCCTCCTCATTGGCTGACTCGTCATTTGTGTCATCGTGTGTTACGAGGCATCTGATTGTTTTTGTATCTTGCGCTGATGTATACTGTGTTTGTCCACTTGTCCCATGAGCTGATTGTCGCAGACCTGATTGTTGAGTGCTATTTTGTTGTATAGACCCCGTATGTGCATATCGGTCCCTGACTTGCTGCGAATTATTGCCATTCGTGTTACCGTACCGACTAGTAAACGGTTGTGTTTGGTTGTCGTTTGTACGAGTGTACCGACTAGTGAATGGTTGTTTATTATTTGTTATTTGCTGATCGGTATTGTTCTGTTTGTTGTAATTATTTTCTAATTCACCCAACTTTTCCCATATGTTGAGGAACTTTTTTTCTTGCGTTGTCTGTATGTAAGCCTGAATGGCTATAGGGAAATGCTTTGTTATTAGGTTAATAGCCTGTAATTCGTCCATTTTCGGCGAGTCCAGATGCTTAAGCTCTGTCATCCAATAATGGAAGTGTTCCTGGAAGTTATTGCTTATTGGTTTTTTTCCTGCTTCCGTGCATTTTATAAATATGTCCCATTGACGGTCTTCCGAAAAGAAGTGTTTCAAAAACAGTGTCTTAAATGTATCTTCATTTGGTGCCAAGTCTTTGATCATGGTGAACCATTTTGCAGCTTTTCCTCTCATGCAATTTTCGATTGTAATTATTCGATCAACTTGGGTGATGTGTTTGTGCAATAAGTACGAGTTCAGGTTTTTCAAGAATTGTTTCGGGTGCTCGCTCGGTTCGCCACTGAAAGTTGGCATTGTTAGTTCGATGTTGCTTGCCCTTGTACTTGCGTTGTCTTGACTCGCTGTTTTTACCAATTGGATGTCCCTCTCACGTCTTGCTGCTTCGATCGTTATTTTTGTATCCGTGTCATTGATTAGTTGTTTAATTATATCCGTAGCGTCTCGTAACTCCCTAGTTAGGTTTTCAAGTGCGGTGTTCTGAGTATTTACTTTCTCCTGTAGTAGTTGCATCATGTCTTCCAGTTGCTGGATCCGATCTGCCTGCGTATTCTTCACCATTTTGTCGGTGGAATCTCGGAGTCGTGGCCTTCTTGCCACTGGTTGGGCGCCAGTTGAAACGGTGCGTCCGATTGGACGACCCGTGTCGTAAATAAAATAACAATTGTGTGCTCGATAATCAAGTTTTTCTATTGCTAGGTTAAATTATAATTTATATTTACAATGTTGGGACAAGTAAAACGTCGATTTGTGCCGACCGGACTTAAATAAGTGAGTCGGCACAATCGGAGGCGCTTGGGTATTGTGGTCGGACAATTGTCGGACCCTATCTTCACAAGTGTTTTTATAACGATTTATATAAGTTATACAATATGATCGGCTAGGAAGCCGGCCGTCGTCGGTGCAGACTTAAGTCAAGCGGCACCCCGACGACGAACCAGACTTGGGTCGGATAACTTAATTAAGTGCCGAGGTTGGGGTCGTGGTGGCCCTGAAAAGGGCCTTTTAATGTTGTCACGCCGTGAGTGGTCGGCCTATCCGGTGATCCCGTAGGCTGGGGTGGTTGAGTGGCGGTCGGGCGGCCTCGTCACGGCAAGAGTACACTGACACTGGTCTCTCCCCGTTGAGCGGCAGTCACGGGGTCGGTTGGTCCTGACGATGATGGCGTTGTTGATCGACCGATCTTTGCGCCCGTAGATAGGTGGTCGACGGGTCGTTATTGTTCGGCCGTTGAATGACGTTTACAGCCGTGGAGCGGCGTCGTTGTCGATATGCGTCGGTATGATGATATACGCAATCGGGAACGGCGGTGGTCTGCGGTCGAATGGCGCTGGTAGCCGTGGAGCGGCGTCGTGGTCGGTATGCGTCGGTATGATGATATACGCAATCGGGAACGGCGGTGGTCTGCGGTCGAACGGCGCTGGTAGCCGTGGAGCGGCGTTGTCGTCGGTCTTCGGCGGTCGATTTCTGGTCCTGGTCTTCTTGCTATCGGAACGTTTCTTGGAGATGTTGATAGTTTGAAGGATTGAAGTGGACTGACTAGATTGTTTTTGCTTTGCTTTGTTAGAGTACTCTGTTTCAAGCATTTAGCTTCTTACAGAGAGGAGGAAGTACAGAATTGAGAGTGGTGAGTTTAGGCTTAAAGATTAGCTATTATTAAGAAAGTGGTTTTTTAATGAAGTGCTCCTTGGGTGAGTTTTTGGAGAGAATGTCGGAGATGTGCTTGAAGCTTGAGTTTTTGATGCGTTGAGTAAGTGAAACTTTGTTTTTTGATAAGTGATCTTTTAGTGGTGGAGTCTTTAAGGATGATCTGATGGTTTCGTTGGAGACATACCAGTCCAGTCCAGTAATTTGACGCAGGGTAGTAGACTGAACTGCCTCTAGTTTTGACCAGCTGCTATTGGAAATATTTGCCGTCCATGCAGGTCCCGCATAGGTCAGGATAGGTCTGATGTAGGTTTTGAATATATGTAGTTTTGAAATAGTTGAAAGAGGACTGCGTTTATTAATAAGGGGAAAAAGGGAATGTTTGGCTCCTTTAGCCTTGGTGATGATGTTTTTTACGTGAGTGCTAAAAGATAGCTTTTTATCTATGGTGACCCCTAGGTACTTGATGTTATTTGACCATTTGATGGGAGTGTCGCCAAATTTTACGCAATCTCCCGCTCTAGTCTGCTTGTTGCTGAACATAATGGCTGAGGTCTTGAGTGGATTGATTGATATTTTCCACTGATGGAACCATTCGATCGAGAGATCAATCTGGGCTTGAAGGTTTTTAATTGCACACGATTGGGATATGCTATCAGCGTAAAATAATGTGTCGTCAGCGAAGAGGGCTAACTTGGCTTTGGAGGATAATGGCATATCGTTGATGTATACGGAGAATAGGTGCGGAGAGAGGCATGACCCCTGAGGGACTCCAGCTCTTATGGTCTTGGGGGAAGATCTGGTATCGTCGATTTTTATGCAGAATTTCCTTTCTTTGAGAAATGACTGAATGATGGAGACCAGCTGTTGAGGTACTTGCATAGCCAGGAGTTTGAATAAAAGGCCCTCGTGCCATACCTTATCAAAAGCTTTTTCTATATCAAGGAGAGTTACTGCTGTTTTTAGCCTTCTGTTCATATTATTTGTTATGTTGTCTATGAAGTTGACTAGTTGAATTTCAGTGCTGTGCTGGGGGCGAAAGCCAAATTGTTCAGGTCTGATTTGAGGCAATATGTGACTTTTAAGTCTGGAGAGTAAGAGTTTCTCGTATAGTTTACCCATCGTGTTCAGGAGAGATATAGGTCTGTGGTTGGTTGGGATTTTTGGGTCTTTTTTCGGCTTAGGAATCATAATTATATCAGCAATTTTCCACTGGTTGGGAAAATATTCTAGACGAGTGCAAGAGTTGAATATTTTACACAAGTAGATCGCAAGTTTTTTCCCCCCACGTTTGAGAGCACAATTAGATATAAGGTCAGGCCCAGGGGCGCTTTTATTGGGGAGTTTGCGAAGATTGTTCCAGATTTCGCCTGGAGAAAAGAAGATGTTTTTGTCGTATATCGAGTTTAAGTGTTGTTCCAGGGTGTCTTGTACTATTTCGTCTACCCACGAAGTACTAGCCAGAGGAGAAAATTGATTTTCCATGCTTGAAGCGAAGATGTTGGCTTTTTCGAGAGAATCATAGTGGAGGAAACCATGATCGTCCTTAAGTGGATGGGAAGCTGTAGATTTCCTGAGAAGTCGTCTATTGAGCTTATAAAGTCGGGACCACCCTTGGGGACCAATATCGATTGAGGACAAGAAATTGGACCACTCTTCGTCGCGATTTGATTGTAGGAGATCGCTGACTAAACGATTTTGTCGGTTAAGTAGCGTTTTTATATCCGGGTTCCTGGTCCTCTGCCAGATGGATCTTAGCCTGCGTTTTTTGGTAATTTGGAATTGGATCGATAGTGGAAGGTCAGTTTTCCTGTCAGATGGGTTGTGGATTGTGGAGTTGATTTTTACGTTGTCGGAGATGAAATTGGAGAGATGCTGAATAGCTGAGTCAACCTGTTCCTCTGTGAGAATTTCAGGGAGAGAAAATGGCTTGGAGAGCATATCAAGTTCGTATTTAATCCAGTCGGTGATGTAGCGAGGTTTAGGCGGAGATATGTGAGCAGAACGATGATGGATGTCTAGCAGAATAGGAGAATGGTCAGAAGACAGTTCATTTGGAAGGTTCTCCAAATGATAGCTAAGACTACCTGCCTTTATTATGGCGATGTCAAGAACGTCTGGATTGTGATTTGGGTTTGTTGGATAACGAGTTGGAGAGGTAGGAGCTGTAACAGTTGTGTCTAGCCTCGAGTCTAGATAATTAAATAATGTTCTACCTGCAGTATTTGTGGACCTACTGTTCCACGCTAGATGTTTTGCATTAAGATCGCCTGCGATTATAACGTTTTGACCTGAGTCTAGAATGATGTCCAAGTCTGATGTTACAAGTTGAGTGCCTGGGCTTTTGTAAGCCGAGACAAGAGTAAGTTCCGCGTCATTGATTTGGATAACGATTGCCGTATTGTTGATGGATGTTGTGATGATTTTGACATGGTGATGAATAAATTTCTTGTTAACTAGGACAGCAGTCCCTCCGGCTGGAGGGTGGCCATTCACTAGTGGTCTATTGGTTGCGTAAGAAAAGAAGTTAGGGAGATTAAATTGGCTATTTGAAGCAAGGTGAGTTTCATTTAAAAGAATAATGTCAACCTTTTTCCTCTGGACTAGGTCGAGAAGTTCAAGGCGTTTCCGAGCTACGCCTTGACAGTTCCAAAACAAGATTCTGGTGTCAGCCATTGTGAGATAGGAGAAGGGGGATAAGAGCATTTAGAGTAGAGATGAGAACGTTTCTGATGTTGGCGGAGCCGGCTGTGAGCTCTGACAGCAGATTAGTGAGCAATTGGATAGCTTCTGGATTGACAGGCTGGCTTGATAATTTTGAAGGCTTAGGGCCAACTACAGTTGCGTATGACTGAGGGCGGATTATAGCATCTTCATTAGATGGAGGAGTGATGGTTGCTGGAGGTTGATAAAGAGTTGTTTGAACGCGTTGTTGATTGAACATGGGTAGGGATGCTTGCTTAGCGGCTTTAGTCTTTAAGAATTCTGGACATTGTTTGTAGTTGGCTGTGTGAGGGCCTTCACAATTAATGCATTTGGGAGTCTGTTCTAGGGTCTTGGGGCAGTCTTTAGCCAGGTGGGATCCAGCACATTTCACGCATCTTGGGGTAAACCCACAGTAGATGCTGGAATGACCAAAACGTTGGCAATTAAAGCACTGGGCTGGGTTTGTCGCTTTGTAGGCTTCTACCTTTACCGAGATATAAAAGAATGAAGATTCCCTAAATATTGACTTGCTGGCAGGGTTGTTTGGTAAGGAGACCATATGAAGGGGCAATTTTTTGCCGGCTTTAACGAATTGGCGGACTGCAGAGATTTCGTATCCTTTGGATACTAGTTCTTCGGAGAGTTCGATGTCGGAGATATCAGTAGGCAAGCCCCTGATTACGACTTTGAGTGTTTTTTCTTCGGGACTTGGAAACGTGAAAAATTCGGTTTCAGTGTTCTTGAAATATTTTTGGACAATTCTGAACATATCAGAGTCAGTGCATTGGATTTTGACCGAGTCATTCCGGAAAGCTTTGACTGTTATCGAGTCAATAGGAACTGCTTTCATAAGTTTGGACGCTGCTTTCCTCCATGCTGAGGTAGAAGTGATTAGTGGTGGAGGAGGTTTGATCTTTTGTTCGACAGGTGGAAGGTCTTGAGTGGGAGTAGGCGTTGAGCGGTTGGAGATTGATTTTCCCGGAGAAGAAGAACGGATGCTAGTTGGCAGAGATCCTGGTAGACCTGATATTTGGTCAGTTGAGGTTAGTTCTGAAATGGACGACATTGATTCGGAATCAGAAGAAAGAGATTCAATATCTTTTTGTTTTTGTTTTTTGGTTGACGATTGAAGTGAAGAAGCCGATGAAGTTGGCCTTTTGATTGTAACCTTTTGAGGAGGATGAAGATTTGGGTCGGAACCACGGCGT